CTGTTGGTATGAATCGGGATCCTGTTAGTCCTTTCGAAGCTTCAAATCATTACTCCGAGGCTTCGAATCACTCATCCGAAGGTTCGACTCACTGCCGATCGAACCATTAATGATCATGATACTCGACTGTGGTCCTTGAATGAGCAAAGGGGATCAGCATTTAATAACGAAATTTGTACTGAGGAACGCTTAATGCTATGGAGAACATGGAGATATAGATATGCCGATTATGATCAGGAGGTTAAAGAGTCAAGATCAACAATAAAATAATGAATGCATTGGAGAATGGATCCGAAAATAAGGGAAGACTAAGATTACTGATTTCCTGCGTAAGCAAAAATACATTTGCACACATACACAAATACAAACACACACACACACACATATGCATATGTGTATTTGTATATGTGTGTGTGTGTGTGTGTATGACGTGTACATATATATCTACGATGACTATGTATTAATGTATGTATATATGTACCTTTGTATGTACGTATGTACATACTCCTACATACATACACATCCTACTTTAACGAAAGAAACAGAATCACAAAAAACGAAACTCTCACGAAAGCAATAGAAAATAAAACAACACCTAGCTCTCCTACAATATCAAATTCTTTAAATTGCTTAAACAAAACAATGAATACGCCTTTGAGAGAGAAACGGCGCAACAGCTTTGAAACTCTGGAAACAAAAGCACAAGAAACAAACAACATAGCGAAGAGGAAAAGTCTATCAACCCCGTCGGAATATGGCGGAGCCGCTAACTGTTCCAGCCAAAAGTTTATTTAACATAATGGGGTCCGTTTGCTCAGTGGAATGAGCTGGGCTTTTTGGTCAACTACACTTACTTATGAGGGAGAGAAAATAAAGGGAGGAAGAGGGAGGTCAAGAAGAGGGGGGAAGAGAGAGAAAGAGGGGAATAAAATGCGTAGAGAGGGGAGGGTTGGGGAAAAGGAGGACGCAACACGCACACACACACGCGTGCATGTACATGGCGTATGCAGAAGAGGGAGAGGGGAGAGAAGAGAGAGAGAGAGAGAGAGAGAAGAGAGAGAGAGAGAGAGAAGAGAGAGAGAGAGAGAGAGAGAGAGAGAGAGAGAGAGAGAGAAAGATAAGAATAGATAGAAAGACAGATAGATAGAGAGAGCGTGGGGAGAAGAAGGAGAGAGAGAGAAGAGAGAGAGAGAGAGAGAGAGAGAGAGAGAGAGAGAGAGAGAGAGAGAGAGAGAGAGAGAGAGAGAGAGAGAGAGAGATAAGAATAGATAGAAAGACAGATAGAGTGGGGAGAGAGAGAGAGAGAGAGAGAGAGAGAGAAGAGAGAGAGAGAGAGAGAGAGAGAGAGAGAGAGAGAGAGAGAGAGAGAGAGAGAGAGAGAGAGAGAGAGAGAGAGAGAGAGAGAGAGAGAGAGAGAGAGAGAGAGAGAGAGAGAGAGAGAGAGAGAGAGAGAGAGAGAAGAGAGAGAGAGAGAGAGAGAGAGAAGAGAGAGAGAGAGAGAGAGAGAGAGAGAGAGAGAGATAGAAACAGAGATAGATAGAGAGAGCGGGGGAGAGGAAGAGAGAGAGAGAGAGAGAGAGAGAGAGAGAGAAGAGAGAGAGAGAGAGAGAGAGAGAGAGAGAGAGAGAGAGAGAGAGAGAGAGAGAGAGAGAGAGAGACAGAGAGACAGAGAGATAGAGGATGAAGCAGACAGCAGAAAAAGGAACTGAAAGATGTAGGAAATGATTATAGAAATAAATGAAAATCACAATACTTATACACAATGCAAAAACATACACAATACGAGAAAACTACGAGAAACGAGAAAAGTACAATTCAGTACTAATACGAAACTACCCGAGTACCATTTGACCACGAAGAATAATCCACGTTTCGGAACCATCTCCGTAACCACCAACTTAGAGAGAAAAATATGAAAGTTTGCCATCACTATTTTTTTTTAATCAGTGTCTCCCACAACGTAATTTGGGGTTTATGCAGAGACCTTATGTCGTAAACCGGGGTCAGGGGCTCTCCAATTTAATACCTCTGACCTAATACGCCAGCGGATGATAGAAAATCCATCTTTTAAAAATATCAACGATGCTTAATATTCTCGTTAAGATCGATAATTAATTCGAGTCGTTTACACAGACTGTCGTTCGTCTATCATAAAGCGAAGGGATGTGGGGTACTTAATAAAAAAAAAAAGGGCACTGGGGTTCGTTTTGGATTCAGTCGGTGAGATATACGTTGTGTCATGCGCGAGAGAGATAGGATTGTCATATGACATTTGGCGTTATATATGTTATACATGGCGGAGATGTGGTCCGAGATTACACTATCGAGGAGGAAGTGTTGGGAAGAGAGAGAGAGAGAGAGAGAGAGAGAGAGAGAGAAGAGAGAGAGAGAGAGAGAGAGAGAGAGAGAGAGAGAGAGAGAGAGAGAGAGAGAGAGAGAGGAAAGAGAGAGAGAGAGAGAGAGAGAGAGAGAGAGAGAGAGAAGAGGAGGGAGAAGGAAGGTATGAGAAAAGAGAGAGGAGAGCAGGGGGGGAGAAAAAGAGAGAGAGAGAGAGAGGGAAGGAAGAAAAGAAGAAAGAGAGAGGAGGGAGGGAGGGAGGGAGGGAGGAGAGGAGAGAGAGAGAGAGAGAGAGAGAGAGAGAGAGAGAGAGAGAGAGAGAGAGAGAGAGAGAGAGAGAGAGAGGAGAGAGAGAGAGAGAGGAGAGAGAGAGAGAGAGAAGAAAAGAGAGAGAAGAGAGAGAGAGAAGAGAGAAGAGAGAGAGAGAGAGAGAGAGAGAGAGAGAGAGAGAGAGAGAGAGAGAGAGAGAGAGAGAGAGAGAGAGAGAGAGAGAGAGAGAGAGAGGAGAGAGAGAAAGAAATATGAGAAAGAGAGTAGAGGGATAGAGAAAAAGAGGGGGGTGGGAGGGAAGGTGGAGAAAGGAGAGAGAGAGAAGAGGAGAGAGAGAGAGAGAGAGAGAGAGAGAGAGAGAGAGAGAGAGAGAGAGAGAGAGAGAGAGAGAGAGAGAGAGAGAGAGAGAGAGAGAGAGGAGGCAGACAGACAGACATAGAAAAGGGAGAACCAGGCAACAGACAAAGAAACAGAGAAAGACAGTAAAAGCGAACAAACAAAACAAACATAGACAAAGCAGACGGCCAAAACAGAAAAAGGAAGAAAGAAAGACATGAACAAAAAAGCGAAACAAATACAAAAGAGAAAAAGAAAGAAAAAAAAGAGACAGACGAAAAGGCAAATGATCACGCCCTCAAAATTATTGAAAACCCGGATAATCTCACCTCATCTGATTAGAGTAGAGTAAACCCCCCCTACTCTTCTCTTCTCTTCTCCCCTTCCCTTCCCTTCTCCCCACGGATTCGGACGAGGCCACACAAGACGCTAGATGGAATCCTAAATCTAGTTCCCTTTTCCTTGAGGATTCTGGCGTTTCCCTCTCTCGTCCTCGTGTCCTTGCCTCTTCCGCTTCCTCAGATTTTTTGTTTGTAATTTTTTGTTGTCCTTTTGCGTGTCCGAAAGCCTGCACGATTCTGTTTTGTTTTCTAGCTTTTTTTTTCCGTGTGTCCGTTTCCATGCACGATTCTGTTTTGTTTTGTCACTCTTGTTTTTTTTGTGTGTGTGTGGGTGTGTCCGTTTCCCTGCACGATTCTCTTTTGTTTTGTCGCTTTTGTCATTGTATTTTCGCGTGTCCGTTTCCCAGCACGATTCCGTTTGATTATCGTTTTTCACATTTGTTGTCTTATTTTCGTACCTCCGTTTCCTTTCACAATTCTGTTTTCTTGTCACTTTTGTTGTCATTTTCCGTGTGACCGTGTCCGTGCGTGATTCTCTATTATTGTCTGCATTTGTCACATTTGTTGTCCTTTTCTCGTGTGTCCGTTTCCGTACATGATCTTTTTTTTCCGCGAGTCCGTATCCGTGCACGACCTATTTTTTCCAAATCTGTTTTTCCAACTTACATCCGTTTCTGCAATTCTCTTCTATTCTCGCATCGTCTTCCCTGCTTGCGTGTGTTCCTCTGTTCCCCCATTCCCTTCTCAGATTGCTTTCGCTCCCCTTCTTGCTTCCTCTTCCCTGCTTACCCCCGTTTTCTCGCTTGCTTGCGTCTCCCCCCTTGCTTGCTTCCGATCTCTCGATTGCTTCCGCGCTTCTGCTTACGTGTGTTCTCTGCTTTCGCTCGTTCCCCCGCTTGTCTCGATTTAAGCAGAGAGAGAGAGAGAGAGAAGGGGGAGGGTGAGGAGAGAGAGAGAGGAGAGAGGAGAGAGGAGAGGGGGAGAGAGGGAGAAAGGGAGAGGGAGAGGAGAGGGAGAGGGAGAAAGAGAGAGAGAGAGAGAGAGAGAGAGAGAGAAGAGAGAGAAGAGAGAGAGAGAGAGAGAGAGAGAGAGAGAGAGAGAGAGAGAGAGAGAGAGGAGAGAGAGAGAGAGAAAGAGAAAGAGAAAGAGAAGAGACAGAGACAGACAGACATACAGACAGACACAGACAGAGAGATAGAGAGGGAGGGACGCTTTTAAGCGAAGCTGGATCACAATAAGGGGAGAGGAGACACGAAGGGAGCTGAGGGGGGAGGGGGGAGGGGGGAGGGGGAGGAGGGGAAGACGAATCCTCATCCTATCTAATCTGTATCCACCATCAAGACTGATTCCTTCCTCGCATCCTTTGTATCGTTATCCTCTCCCCCTCTCTCTCTCCTCCTCTTTCTTCTCATCTCTTTCTCTTTCCTCCTACTCCTCTTTCTTCTCCTCTCTTCCCTCCTACTCCTCTTTCTTCTCCTCTCTTTCTTTCTTCTTACTCCTTTTTCTTTTCCTCTCTTTCTTTCCTCCTACTCCTCCTTTTCCTCCCCTTCTCTCTCTTTCCTCCTAATCCTTTTTCTTCTCTTCTCTTTCTCTCCTCCTCCTCCTCCTTTTCCTCCCCCTTCTCTTTCTTTCCTCGTCCTCCTCTTTCTTCACCTCCTCCTCTTCTTTCCCCACTTTCTCTCTCCTCTTCCTTCCCTTCTCTCATCTCTACCTCCT